ATATTATTTAAGTTCCTCCTTCGTCTAAAACGCAGTGTATTGTATAACACAAAAGTTATGACTGTATGTTCACATAAACTGGTAGTGGTCTGCACTTCACTACAATACATTCTTCCTGCGCTGCAGTGTGTTGCGCAGCTTTGCCACACAGATTTTGATAGTTAGCTATAATAGATCAGGCGGTGTGCCAAAGGACCAAAGGCTCTGCCTCGGTACAGTTTGTGTCAAGCCATTCATTAATCTGGCTGTCTGATGAAGAGAAATGTCAAATATGAATAAATTAAAAGGATATTTCAACTGAAAAAAAAAATCATAATTTACTCACCTTGTGTTTTGCAAACCTGATTTGTTTACCTCCATGGAGCATAATAGGAGATGTTCGGTCAAATATCTTGGCTGCTCTCTTCCATACAATGAAAGCGGATGATGATTTCTTTTTTAAAGCTCCAAAAAGGCAATAATATACCATAAAGGTGTGGTAACTTTATCAAAACTGACAGAAGTCACTTTCAATCCAAGCAGCTTTTCTTTGGTCAGCTTGAAGCCGTGGTGAAACCTGCATGGGGAAATCCTTCACTTTCATGCAAGAAAAGTTCCTGATCGCATGAATTCCTCTTGAAATGAATAGATCTCGCTCACAAAAATTCACCAAACAGCGGTACATGTGACCGCACCTTAAAGGGGTCATTTGTTTGTCGTTTCTCTGATCACAAATGCAGACATGGTTTTATGTTTACACGGCGCGATGCAACGCAACGCGTAAAAAGACAGTATAAATCATTATAATCCATAATTATATCCCCACTGGATGCATCAATTACCTCGTTTATAATGGGTTTTAATGTTTTTGTCTCGTCGCTCCAGCCGGACACGGCATCACAGTATGGTGAGGGACGTAACATTTCCGTCACACGCTTGAGGTATTCGGCCAATCACAATGCACTGGATAGCTGGCCAATCACAGCACACCTCGCTTTTCAGACCGATGAGCTTTGTAAAAATCGACGCGTTTCAGAAAGGCGGGGCATAGAGGAGAAACAATAATGTACAGTATGTGGAAAATAATGTGTTTTTTTAACCTTAAACCGCATAAACACATTTCATTACACCAAATACACAACATAATGTTCTTTTTAGCAGCATCATATGACCCCTTTAATAGCAGTCTGTAAGTCTTATGAAGTCATACATTAGCTTTTGATGAGGAAAAGTTTGTCATAAGTAATTATATAATGTCCACGGCAGCTCTCAAATCTTGTGTTCACATGTATTCAAGACTTTGAAAATGCTTCTGTGTGTCATGGTGACGAATGAAATTTGACAGCTACACCAAAGGGCAAGACTTTCAGTGAGTAATGACTTTTGTACTATTGCTCAATGTCCTTTTTATGGTACTTTTTGCCCTTTTGGAGACTGACAGTGTAAATAACAATCCACTAGCATTGTATAAAAAAAGGCAGACAGATTTTTATTAAGGGGTGTATTTGAAGGCCCTAAAAATGCTAAATGGTTTTAAAGTGTCGCTTATACTTGCCACGTTAAAATGCACTTAGAGATAAACGAAGTTCCTTTATAGTGAAGGGATGTGGTAAAAACCTAAGTGTCAAGAATACAGCTAAACTCAAACAATGGTTGCTCTGAGGCTTTTCTTATTTAAAGGGATAGTTCAACCAAAAATTTGGTCTGCTTTGCATCATTACAAACCTGTATGAACTTCTTTCTTCTGTGAGTCAATAAGTCATTAATTTCATTTTTTCCCCTTAAGAACCGTTTTTATTTATTATGCTTTTATTTCCCGCCAGGTTTCTGTGCCTGCATGATCCTCATCCTGTTCTCCTCGGAGGTCAAACTGCACCACCTGACCGAGATCATTTTCAAATTCAACGAGGCCAGTTTCGTCTACAAGACGCAAAACGAGAGGTACGACAGATCCTTCTGGCTCGTCTTCCTCACCTTCCTCATGCACGGCCTCAACATCTTGCTCATCCGCCTGGCCGGGATCCAGGTCCCCTTTCAGGAGGCCAAAGAGTCTGATGCGAGCACAGGTGCGGCGGATCTCATGTACTGACCAGCTCTTTTGTTCTACTTCCTCCCCTGCACACGACATCCTACCACAGCGGCTAGCACTTCTCAGTAGGAGTCTTCCGACGAGCTGCATCCGTTCTGTTTACAGCTGAACACATCTGAGGCTCTTAAGCTATTGAGACCATGTGTGGTGAGGAACTTGGAGATGCCCGTGTGTTTGGAGAGAAAGGTTCTTATCTCGCAGCGGGGAGGCGGGAGTGAGGCTGATGGAGCATTCATTCTGTCAACAATTAACGCTCACCATTTCAAACGGCTGATGAAAACACCCTGTAGTTTCCAGTCTGGCTGGGGACATGACAGTTTCCTTTGGTTGTGGATCTTTTATAATCCAGTTGTGGCACAAAGGGCAATTCTACAGTGACCCCAGAAAGTTTGGACACTTAAGCCACACTTAAATATGTATGAATGTCTTTGCATTAGATAACAAAATGTCAAGCGCCATTTGTTTTAAAAACAGTACAGGCACACTTTTCAAACAGAACATTGCACAAAAGGAAGTTTGTTGGACTTCATACATCTACTAAAAATCATCAGGCGATTAAAAGTGTTAGCAAAAATGGCTAAAACCATAAAAAAATGTCTTTAAATTACTTAAAATGAAATAAATATTAACTTAAATTAAATAAAAAAACAAAACTTATTTTTTGTCAGCTAGTTGCTAAGACAACATTTCTCGTTTTAATTTAGTTTGTAGTAAAATAACCAAAATTAGAAAAACTAAAACTATAACATGTTAAAATGAGAATAATAATAATAATGACAAAAACACAACAAAATGACCAAAACTTTAAAATGAAAATGAAAATAAATAAATAAATAATAATAATAAATAATAATAAATTCAAAATATTAACAAAAATATATAATAGTATATCACTGATACACTGGTTTATTATTTTGTTTTCTAATGCAATTGCATTAATCCATTTGATGTTTTCTTGACTTTTTAGGGCCACTGTATAGTAATATTCCAATTTCTGGTTTTATATAAGCCTACATATCATTTAAATAAATAACAAATATGTTGTTGTATCTCATTTCATCATTCAGGCATATGCATCCAACTATAACCATGGCTTTAGAATATCAGACAAATGTAACAATTGCTATTGATTTATCACTTATTGGATGATCAATATGGATTTAATGTTTTCCATGTTTAACTAATATTTTAGAATCTTATTGTATTTGCATCTTTTTCATAAATCCTTCTTATTGTCTTCTTTGTGTTTATACACTCATGCTGTGCCAATGTGCCACATTATTCATAATATAAAAATGGCATTTAATAAACCAGTTTTTGGTATGTAAACACTAAAATATTCTTAAATGGAATTTTCAACTTGAGAATTTTCAAACTTAAATATAAGAATAGATAATAATTCCATTAAAAGTAATAAAAACGCTTGTACTGTATGTGTAGTTATTTGGCATATACAGTATGCTCATGAATTGTGATTGTTAGGATGTAGAATGAGAGGGGCCAAAAATACAAAATATATATACAAAAATACACAATTATGTATTACACATGCTGTATCAATTCTGACACCCTATTTTTCATCATAGTTTATGGGAGTGCGGCTTTTCTGGTCACTATGAATTCTGTGCCTTTACTCAAAATAAAATGATATGTACTATTCTAGTTTCGGTTTCTTCATAATGCATTGCTTTGTATATGTACTGTATGAACAGACTAAAATGACAGCATAGTACAAAGTCTGTACAGTTTATGGACAGAATGTATTTGGGAGGTTTCAAGCATCCAGGAACAATGGCCTGAAAGGAGAGAAAAGCGGCTCTCATCACTCCAGACATAATGAAAGAGCACTGCTTTGTTAGCACAGAATTCAGACCAACAGAAAAGAAACCAAGTACTCCACCTGCTACCCGGAAACTGTCAAATGAAAGGAGGTTCTCAGCCATGTGTCTGTCTGCCTCTTGAATATAAAGTCTGTCACATATGTCTTGGTGACCTGGTTCACACTGAGGTTTGAACTTTAAACAGAGTTTAAAGGATTCTCACCTGAACCTGCAGCTACGCCGTCTGATACTCATTTCTAAAGAAGAGATAAAGAAGGTATGGCTTTTCTTTTTGTGATTATGCGACAGGTTTAGGTCGATTCCATTTAAAAGTGATTCAGAGTCTGTAAAAATAAATAAATGATACATGAAATCAAATCATTGCTTTAATCTGAATTAAAGCAATGCAGAATAAACAGCTCAACATTCTATTCAAAGTTATTTTGAAAACTGCAATTCAATTGTATTGGCTGAACAGTATAGATTCAGCCATGAATTCGATTTTTTTTTTCTTGCTTGTACTGAATTTCCGAATGATTCTTCTCTTATAACTACATAATTTCTTACAGATATTCCAAGATTTCAGTATTCACAAAAAAAAAAAAAAAAGTCTTTATTTTCTGATTCATTTGCTATTATATTTCGTGGGAAAGCGGAAACAAGACCCCGTAATCTTTTTATACATTTCCCGAGCACAGAACCAAATAGAGCGTACAGTCATATTTGTCTTGATTGTTGGTTAACCAGAAAATGTGTTCATCATATATCAGCATTTGCATGTTGTCTTTTTGATAACATTTGATATGCATTTAATCCTCTAAATGCAAAATGCATGTTCCCTTCTGCACTTGTGCTTTTGTTATTGAAATCTGTGACACGGCTTAGAGGTTGTAACCCTTGTCATGTAGAAGATGCTATCGCTGGGGTTCTCATCTCTGGCCCTCGAGATCCACTTTCCTGCAGAGTTTAGCTCCAACCTTGATCAAACTCACCTGCCTCTAACTTTCTAGTGATCCTGAAGACCTTGACTAGCTTGTTCAGGTGTGTTTGATTGGGGTTGGAGCTAAACCCTGCAGGAAAATGGACCTCGAGGGCCAGAGTTGAGAAACCCCTGCACTATATCATCAACAATGCATCAGTAGATGGCACTGTAACCAAAGAGCAAATGGATGATTTGGTAAAGACTAAGCTTTGTGAATTTCTACATTTTATACACTTGCTCTGTATATAAATTTTTTTGGTAAAGCAGGAGGAAAAATCTTAAAATCTTTTTTTTTTCTTTAAAGAGTGGTTTATTGAACAAATTGTGGCTCTGTCTTTACGTAAATTAAATTATAATCAAACATTTCTTAAGGATAAAAGTTATATCTCTGTTAATGCCTTTATAGGGAATGCTATTACTTGCGCATCACTATAATTTTAAAGGTTACAATTAATAACAGAGCTTGAACTATTAAATTAAACTGCTAATGTTTGAATTATTTTGTAATTTAATATAAAAAGAAGTTATTTATGTCAAAAATGTTTTCTTCTTATAATACTTGAAAAATTAGTATTATATGCTATTAGTAAATAAACCTTGTATATCTTAGAGCTACAGTTTTAGTTCATATACATTTCACTAATAAATCCATTGTAAAGCAGTCAACATCAATCACTAACCAACCAACAAACAAACAAACAAACAAACAAACAAACAAACTAAACTCCTCTCCACTTATGCCAAACTTTTGGTTGCAGTAGTACAGTTGTTTAGGGAAGACATTAGGTTATTCATTGAGAATAGCATGTGAGAGAGATGATAAAATGTTTGGGTCTTATTAAAAAAAAAAAAGAAAGTTTTTCATGAAAGCAGAGCTCAATGACCATTCACACATTAAATAATGATGTTAATTAAAAATGCTATTATGTTGATTTATCAATTGTACTATGACCTGAATAACCTTTCATTATAGGCCATAACAAGATAATCTGAAACAACCATACAATTCTGCACTAATGCAGAGAGGGATTCTTAGGAATGATTCATATATTCACTGTGACTCATTATCTGCTTGTTTTAGAATGGTACTGTACAGAAAAATAGGATGTCGAATCATTTTATTTCGTTCATTTACGCACAACCTTGTCTCTAAATAGCCCTACCACAACTTGCTTAATTCACAAAATAATGTTTAAAACTACTACTTTTAAATTTCCTGACCATAAATGTAGCTACATTATGATTCCATTCATGTGTAAGGCGCTCACGCAGGACGCATTATCGCGTTCAAAAGCAGCTGGACTGAGCGCAAAGTAACGAACTCAACAGAGCCCAGGTGTTTTATAGACTCATGTATTTTTGTACGACTTGTATTCCCCTATTGCTATTTAAAAAAAAAAAAAACACGATGCTAAAAGAAAAACGCCAGAATGCGTCCTGTCTGCACGCAACCTAAGCAACAAAGCGCTTGTGTCACTCATCTATTCTTTTGTTTTGTGTCCCCGGGGAGCTGTACTGTCCTACACGAGGCAGGAAAGCTGGGACTCCAACTAAACGCTGGTGTGATGTTTCCTGTCACCTGCAGATGGACGCTGATGTGGAGGCGAGCAGTGAACTAGATGAAATCCTCCAGCAGATCGTGGAATTGGATAAATGGAGAGAGATATTTAACTCCCGCGGGTACGCGTGCGCACTGCTGTCTGCTTCTGCTGCCCAGCTAGCCTTGATGTTTACTTCACCTGTTTTTACCTTACAGGTTGGAATTACCACAGGACTATCTTGAAGTAAGTCTTAATCGGCTTTATTTGTATTGTTTTTATTTGGATTGCTTAATGTTTTCTATTTCTAATTTAGACATCTACACGGGATGCTTCACAAGCGAAGTGTTTTCTAGAGAAAGCAAAACGGTTGCTAGAGTAGTTCAGCTCAAAACGACAAAATTGTATTATTTTATGCACCCTCACGTCGTTCCAAACGGTTATGATTTTTGATTGTCCTTCTTATATATAGTATTATTATTATTATTATTATTTTTTTTTTTTTAATGAGTGTACGATATATTAGTTTGTTAATGTTTTTTTTTTTGTATTTCATATTTTGCATTTTTAGGGGAATTTTATAGTATTTTATGGTCTATTGTTTAAAGAAGACACTTGGCAGATTATTGTTGAAGTGAAAAAAAATGTATACAATTTTAAGTATATTATTATGAAAAATGAAATTTTTTTAAATGTTATATGAAATATCTATTTTCCAAAACATGGTTTAATCTAAAACTGTGTGAAAATCAAAAACACAATACAAAAACAACATGTGTTCCAAATTTGAGGTTGATATCTTAAAAATTAGCTTGAATGTGCAGTGAACATTTCCACTAGATCAAATTCACTTCCCATTCATTTCCAGTGCAAGTATGACTATTTGTTTTTCAGACGTGTTTAACCTTTTTGAATCATGTCAATGTTTTTTTTTTGTTTTTGTTTTTTTGCATGTGTTCACATAGCAAGTGCCAAACCCCTTGCCGAGTTTTGTACCTTTTCAATGTAAAAAATTCTAAAAAAGCAAAACGTAAACTCTTTCGGTCAACCGAACAAAACCAGGGGGTTAATTAAAGGTGACTCAAGCCTTAAAATGAAAAAAAAACCTAAATAAAAGTATCATTGATTGATTGATTGATTGATTGATTGCACATAAAATAAAAAAGTGATGAAAAGTGACAGTAAAGTAATTAATAATTTTTTTAAAACAGATTTTAAATGTAACGTTTTAAAGTACAGTAAAACAGAAAAGAGTTCTTTTGAATTTAACTTTGTTTTACAATATTAACTATATTGTTTACTGTTTTAACTATATTGTTGTCAAATGAATGTAGTCTTGGTGAGCATTAGAGACTTCTTTTATAAGCATTAACATTTCTTAGTTATTCAAAATTTCTGACCGGTAGTTTGTTGATTGGAGAGAGAGAAAAAAAACAAAAAACTAAGGTCCCATATGCAATGTTTTGTCAGGCAGCCTAAAAAAATATGTTTCGCGATTATTTAATAAGTAATTTTAAGAGTAAGACAAGGTAGAAGGTATACTGTAACAACTGCACATATTCACTTTATCACTTGCATAGAGACCGAGTGAGAAGATCAAATCTGAAGAGGACAGTGACGACTCTTCTAGGCCGGCCACCTCGGCCCATCACGTCAGTGCACAGAACGAGCAGTTCACAGCGCCCTACTCCATTCCTCGAACCCTCACAGTGTCTCCGAGTCTGGGTGGGCAACCGCTGTCACCAGAGCTGGCGGTGGTGAGTCGTGGAACATGACCCTGTCACTTGACCCTCTGCTCTCTTGCCTCCCATGTGTCTCATAACAGACTTGCGCTGTGTGTCTATATGTGTGTCCCGAAGACAAAAGACAGGATATTGACTCATCATTTATTTATTAGGACTTTAAGCATTAGATCAAGTTAGTCTCATATAGTCATAACTACTGCTAATTCCATGGAAGCACCACTCGTATTTTCTTTCAAAACAATTGTTAAATATGTTTAAAAAAAAATATAAACCTTAATTTCAATGATATTAGCTAGAACTTGGGTGATTTTTATCGTAAATTAATAACTTCATTTTTCCATTACTTGATTTATATACTTATATGTGAGCCTGGAGCACAAAAGCAGTCTTAAGTCGCTGGGGAATATTTGTAGCAATAGCCAAAAATACATTGTATGGGACAAAATTATCGATTTTTCTTTTATGCCAAAAATCATTAGGATATTAAGTAAAGATCATGTTCCATGAAGATATTTTGTAAATTTCCTATCGTAAAAATATCAAAAATGTATTCTCATTAGTAATATGCATTGCTAAGAACTTCATTTGGACAACTTTAAAGGCAATTTTCTCAATATTTAGATTTTTTTGCACCCTCAGATTCCAGATTTTCAAATAGTTGTATCTCGACCAAATATTGTCCTATCCTAACAAACCATACATCAATGGAAAGCTTATTTATTCATAAATCTCAATTTCAGATTGACCCTTATGACTGATTTTGTGGTCCAGGTCACATATATACTTGATTTATTATTATTAGTATTATTTTGACATTTCATTTAGCTTTGTCTCTCATACAGAGTTTAAGAAATATTTTGTTTGGGAACTCCTTCCATATATTCAACTATGAGTGGAAGAAATCATTCTTCAAGTTTCGGGAGCCTTTCTCTGACATGGCATATGCTCTGGAGACTGAGAGGGTGGTGAGTATGATGAGAGAATTTCTCATAACTGTCATTATAAGTCATTGCTTATTGTCGTAGTTTTGGGTATAAACCCTTGAAACTGATATGATATTGTAACATTTCTTTAAAACATTTGAGTTTGAAAATTCACATTCACATAAATTACTTAATGAAGAGACAAATGTGCACCTTTCTCTTTGATGCATAAGTGAAGGGAATGTGTATATCTAAACAAATGTAAAACAAACACAAAACATCTATGGTTAAAGGAATGTTTGGTGATAAATATGCACTAATATACTGAAAGAAACGGACAGAGGCAAGGATCTAAGTGTAGGTTGTTTAATGAAGAAAACTGAGGCAAACCATAAACCAAAACATGGGGAAACAAGCAACAAAACACAAGCAGAAACAGCAACCATTACAATCAACAACAGGCAAAGAACAAGGGAAACACAAGGGCTATATATACAGAGCAGAAGCAATGAACTAATTAGTAATCATAGGAACTAACAAGGAGATGGGTGTGGTTCAATGAGTGTCCATAGCAACAAACAAGGAGAACAGAGCAACAATGAAGACACAGACACAGGAAAACACATGGGATTGTGGCACATGCCATGAGGAGGGACAAAAATAGGTGTTGCCACAAATTAAGAACTCATTCCCATGACTTGTTAACTTGTTCAAGTTTATTAAAAAAAAGTAAAATTGTGGCCACATTGTACTATTTTTTTCCCCTTTATTTTAATTTATTTAAATCATAGCCAATTGTGGCATGTACAGTGCTCCATACTATTATACATTAAATTATAATAACTTTAATAACATTCATTTTATATAAAAAAAAAAAGATTACAAAAATCATCTTTGAAATTAATTACACAACTGGTATTATTTGTTTGAGCTTCATCATAGAAACTATGGTGGTTGTGACCTTTTAACTGCTAACAAAGAACATAGGCTAGGAAGGACTGACAACAAAATAAAAACCACATGATGATTTAGAAATGCGTTTTTTCTGAGTCAGTAAACTCTATACTTGGTATTATGAAGGTCAGAATCCTTGTCAGATGTGTCATCATTATGCTTGTGCATTCTGGAATTGAAGGCATAGCTCACTCAAAAATGAAAGTTTTGTCATTATTCACTCACCAGTTTCATTTCAGAACCACATGTTATTTCCCATGGAGCATGAAATGACAAACTAGCCCACATTCACATCTTGAATTTAAAACTGGTACATCGTAATAACTTTTTTGGGTGAATTACCTTAAAATGAGTCAATCTGATTTGTTATTGTATTCTTATTTGACGCTTAAACAGATTTAACAGTTCTTAAAATAGCTGCTGTAAGTGGAACTGGAAAAATACTTACTAAAAATACTAGTAAAGCCCAAACTGGAGACAGTTGACCTTATGTGTGATCACGTTAACAAAGTTACTTCCCCTTTGCCAGAACTGCAAGTTAAATAAGTGAAGAAGGATTTTGTTACAAGCTTTAGTAGATCACTTCTCGTACGTCTTTTTCATGGAGAAGCCATGACTTCAGATTGATTAGCCCGACACTATTGTTTGAACTTTGCATCACTACCCGCCACCTCATTATTTCATAATGAGCTTGAAATGTTGGCCGTTTTCTTAACCACAGATCATTGGCATGCTTAAACTAAGGCAGCTAAGTAAATATGCTTCCTTTTATCCTCAGGTAGTGAAGTGAGGGGCATGTCATTAGCAGATTACACTGGCATTAGGCTACTATAAGAAAGCACAATTATATTAAAGGGGTCATATGATGCGATTTCAATTTTTCCTTTTTTGAATCATCGCTCCGGCCTGACAGGGCATCATCACAATATGGCAAGGGGCGTAACATTTTCGTCACGCGCTTGATGTATTCGGCCAATCATAACGCACTGGATAGCTGGCCAATCACAGCACACCTCGCTTTTTTAGACCGATGAGCTTTGTAAAAATCGATGCGTTTCAGAAAGGTGGGGCATAGAGGAGCAACAATAATGTACAGTATGTGGAAAATAATGTGTTTTTTTAACCTTAAACCGCATAAACACATTTCATTACACCAAATACACAAAATACTGTTCTTTTTAGCAGCATCATATGACCCCTTTAAGAGCACTCAAGAAACTGATTCAAGGTGAACTTTTTCCACCAAATGATTTCCACTCAAATAATAACAACATTTATGTATCTGTCTTGCATGGCTTATGAATAGTTCATAAACTAAACACTCAGTGCTGGATACCATTAAAACAGTTATTTTCACTCATACACTACCAAAAAGTTTGGAGTCGGTAAGATAAAAAAAAAAGTTTTTAAATGACACTTATGCTCACCAAGGCTGGATTTATTTTATCAAAAATATAGTAAAAACAGTAATATTGTGAAATGTTATGTTACAATTTAAAACAACTGTTCTCTAGTCACCTTTACTTATATTGAACTTTATACAATACAGATTGTTTCAAAGCAGATTTACAGTGATAAACAGGAAAATGATTGAGTGATTCAAAAAATTTAATTCTGCTTTAAAGCAGCTCTAGAAAGTCAATAGTAAATAATCATTATTCAGTTTGGTTCAATAATTTGGTTCCCTATCTGTCACTCAATGTCAATGTAGTGACACCAGGGGTCACATTTGGGAGCCCCAAACACCTCTGATACTTCAGAAAGGGCCAATGAGATTTGGCAAGTGGAATTTGCATGTCACTCCCTTGGACATAGAGTCTGAAAAGAGATGGCTTGCTCCACTCATTCAAATTTGTTTTTTGGAGCCAAGAAGACGTGTATGTGATTCTCTCTATTCACCTCTGCCTAGAAACTTTGTTGAATTCCTGTATGGCACAGTTCCCCTGGGTGCTTCAATGAGCTACTAAAAGAGAGATTTCCATAAGAGAACAACAAGAGAGTTTCTCCATAAAAGAGACATTTCCTCTAAGAGCAACACTGTAGAAAACATATTTTTAAAGATGTAATTCCATCAGTGTATTTCTGGATGCAGTTGACACCTCGCTCCATCAGATGGCCACGATCGCTGCATCAGTTTTTGGGACCGGGCCCATGCTGAAGCAGCTCTGAGTGGATCCCTCCACCCTGTCCCAAGTATTCATGGTTAGACGATTGATTTGGATTGGTGGTCTCTGAATTTTGCTTACAGCTGCAGTCAGCTCCAGTACCTTTCTTCCCAGAGGTGCAAGAGCAGTTCTGTGCCCACAAAATGCTTTCACCTAGAGGAACTGTCCAAGACTCCCATCCAAAGCCTGTAAATTCATGTCATCCATGATGGCAAGAGCTTACAGAGCTGCCAGACATGCCGCCTCCACCCTGCATGCCATGGCCATCCTGCAGGGCCAGACATTGAGAGAGATGCACAAAGTTAGTCCCGACCCAGTACCCATGCAGGAGCTGCAAGTGACAACTGATCTCGCCCTATGGATGACGAAGGTCACAGCACAGGCACTCAGTCAGGCGATGTCCACCCTGGTGGTTATCCTCAACATTGCAGAGATGAGGGATGCCAAGAAAGAGCCCTTTCTCCCCCCAAACATTGCTGTAGCAGGCAACCCAGGGATGACAGGAGCTGCTCCACTTTCCTTTTCAGGGAAAGTGCAGTTTCTTCATTCACTTGAAAAGAGACATTTCCTCTAAGAGCAACACTGTAGAAAACATATTTTTAAAGATGTAATTCCATCAGTGTATTTCTGGATGCAGTTGACACCTCGCTCCATCAGATGGCCACGATCGCTGCATCAGTTTTTGGGACCGGGCCCATGCTGAAGCAGCTCTGAGTGGATCCCTCCACCCTGTCCCAAGTATTCATGGTTAGACGATTGATTTGGATTGGTGGTCTCTGAATTTTGCTTACAGCTGCAGTCAGCTCCAGTACCTTTCTTCCCAGAGGTGCAAGAGCAGTTCTGTGCCCACAAAATGCTTTCACCTAGAGGAACTGTCCAAGACTCCCATCCAAAGCCTGTAAATTCATGTCATCCATGATGGCAAGAGCTTACAGAGCTGCCAGACATGCCGCCTCCACCCTGCATGCCATGGCCATCCTGCAGGGCCAGACATTGAGAGAGATGCACAAAGTTAGTCCCGACCCAGTACCCATGCAGGAGCTGCAAGTGACAACTGATCTCGCCCTATGGATGACGAAGGTCACAGCACAGTCACTCGGTCAGGCGATGTCCACCCTGGTGGTTATCCTCAACATTGCAGAGATGAGGGATGCCAAGAAAGAGCCCTTTCTCCCCCCAAACATTGCAGTAGCAGGCAACCCAGGGATGACAGGAGCTGCTCCACTTTCCTTTTCAGGGAAAGAGCAGTTTCTTCATTCACTTGGTCACACACACAGACTGATTCCATCGCCTACGTTCGGAGCAAGGTAGGTGTTTCGACACCTTTACAGCCACAGCAATGAGATCAGGATGCAAAGCTTCCCAACGGGGTGGCCCCTGCTCCACCTGGCCTTCCATCTGAGTTCCCCATTTCCTGCAAACCCTGGACACCATCCTGTTTCTCCAGCACTCATCGGTAGCTGAATTATCGTGGTAGCTGAATCATGGTGTGCCCATTTTCAGGTGAGCCCATGTACTTAGGTTAAGTGCTCCATATGTGCTGATTCCCTCTTGGTAATCCCATATGATCTGTTGTTCACTGTCTTCCACTGGGCAAGGCCTCGTAACACAGTTCAGCTAGTTTTGAAATTTAGTATAGGGACCCCTAATGTCACTTAATTGACACAATACCAATATAATATTGGTTACTATTGTGACCTCTGTTCTCTGATGGAGGGAACGAAATGTTGTTCCCTCCTGTCACAACACTGAACAACCCGCTGAAATGCGTTCGGAGCAAGGTAGGTGTTTCGACACCTTTACAGCCACAGCAATGAGATCAGGATGCAAAGCTTCCCAACGGGGTGGCCCCTGCTCCACCTGGCCACAATGCATCCACCACTAGTATGTCAAAAAAAGTTGTTCCCTTGGTGCTCCTCATGTAGAGTTTGGACACATGGTTAACACTTCCAACCCATCATGCTGGCTCATCAGAACAATTCAACCCGAAAGAAAAGATGGTGGGTTGGGGCCAGTATTAGATTTCCAAGTTTTGAATCAGGGCCTGCATAAGCACCTTTTCATGTTGATGCTGATGCAGAAATGCATTTTGACATGCGTCAACATCAAGAATGGTTTGTGGCAATAGACAGCGAAGGGTTATCCCCCTTCACCTTGAAGTTGTACGTGGCTGCTGTAGAGGCACATTATGACACAGTGGATGGTAAGCACATAGGAAAGCACAACCTGGTCAGTAGGTTCCTCAGAAATGTGAGGAGGATAACCCTCTTGGGTCTGAGTTTTTTTTTAAGCCTTGTAGAAGTTTTGACATGCCATGTCATTAGTGCTTTTTCAGTTTCATATAAACATATTAATGACTAAAATCTGTTTTTGGGGGGGGGGAGATTGCAGATTACATCTCTGTTAGCAAGATGTGCTTGGAGTTCAGCCCAAAATACTCTCTGAGACCCCGGCCCGACTATGTGCCTAAAGTTCCCACCACCCCTTTCAGGCATCAGGTGGTGAATGTGTAAGTGCTTCCTTGTGTCAAGGCAGACACAGCCGTGTCCTTGCTGTGTCCAGTGTGCACCCTGCACATTTATTTGGACTGCACAGAGAGTTTCAGATGCTCTGAGCAGTTCTTTGTCTGTTTTGGGGGAAAGTTTGTCTCCAAACAGAGGATTGCCCACTCGATTGTGGATACCATTCTCTTGGTATACCAAGCACAGGACATGCCATGCCACCTGGGAGTGTGAGCTCACTCCACTAGAGGTATTGCAGCCTCTTGGGATCTAGTGAACAGCACCTCTTTGACAGACATCTTCAGAGCAGCAGGCTGGGCTATATCCAATACCTTTGTGAGATTTTACAATCGCCAGGTTAAGCCAGTTTTGTCCCGAATATTACTGGGTATGAACAGGTCAGTTTTGGGCAACTGGCTGACAACTTGCACACAGTGCCTTTCCCCTCTCTGAGGTGATAATGTGCACTTTTTGTCCATCTGAGTTCCCCATTTCCTGCAAACCCTGGACACCATCCTGTTTCTCCAGCACTCATCGGTAGCTGAATTATCGTGGTAGCTGAATCATGGTGTGCCCATTTTCAGGTGAGCCCATGTACTTAGGTTAAGTGCTCCATATGTGCTGATTCCCTCTTTGTAATCCCATATGATCTGTTGTTCACTGTCTTCCACTGGGCAAGGCCTCGTAACACAGTTCAGCTAGTTGTGAAATTTAGTATAGGGACCCCTAGTGTCACTAAATTGACACAATATCAAGTGAGTGACAGATAGGGAATGTCTTGGTTACTATTGTGACCTCTGTTCTCTGATGGAGGGAACGAGATGTTGTTCCCTCCTGTCACAACACTGAACAACCCGCTGAAATTACTGGGACACTGTCTTGGCTCCTCAGCACAAACCTAAATGAGTGGAGCACGGCATCACCTTTTATACCCGTATGTACAATATTGGTGAGCGGCATGCAAAATCTCTGAACGTGTTTGGGGTTCCCAATCGCCCTAATGTCACTCCATCAGAGAACAGAGGTTACAGTAGTAACCAAGACGTTTGGTTCTAGTGTCTTCAGTGTCACTTGATCCTCCAGAAATCATTCTAATATGGTGATTTGTTACTAAAGACGTATTTCTTATTATAAACAATGTTGAAAACAGTTCTGTGTTAGTTCTGCCAAAAATGAACATTCTGTGATTTAAGTCTCTGATTTAATTTAAAGGTCCCTTTAAATACACAAAAGCTGGTACACACTGTTTTAATTATAACTTTTGGATCAATCATATTTATATTTGTTGTGTTTCATCATTAACATGGAAGTCCTGCATTCTAAAATGGCAATTACAGTTAAAGGAAATCATAATGTGGAATTTGTGAGAGAAATGCATGACAAAAGTGAGCCCAAACAGTGTTTTCTCTTTCTCTTCTCTTGCAGGGAGGAGCCTGTGCTATTCAGATGGTGGTTCAGGCTCATATTATTAAATATTTGCTCTTCAACCGGTCAGTAAACTCAGAGTGCACAATGCAAAGGTGATTTTTTTTTTCAAGGTTGTATAATTGTGTGGGATATAACCATGGCAGAGGGGAAGATTTCAGGTTTTCAGTCAGTAATAACTTACATTTCGATCTGTTTCTATCAGAACATTTATGGTTGGGCTAGGAGTGGGGTTAAAGGCTCCAAAATATTGCTATTTCTATAATCTGATCTAAAATTAATAATAATAATAAATAATGATAATATACATATTTTGCAGTTGAAAGCACTTGTGTCATGCAAATTAAAGATTTTTGAGGTTTTGACTGAATCGTCTGAACTGAAATGAGAATGTTGTGATGCTGCACAGTCCACTGTATCACAGCTCCGACAGACTCTTTCTTTCTCTCGTTCTCAGTATGGTGACGGTAGGGGAGAAGGAGCAGAGGAAGGCGCTGGCAGCCGCTCTAACTGACATCTTGTGGACAGCTGGTGAGGAGCAGACAGCCACCGTCTGCTTGGTCACGTCAGAGCGCTGTTTCACCCCCCACATGGACTACAAACTGGACAACTTCACAGAGAGGGTACATGCAGTTTATGAAAACATGCTAACA